AGTGTTTAGCACGTTTGTACTAAACTCCACCCAGTTTACTATAGTTTCTTCCATTCCCTATTGCATCCTTTAGACTGAAGGCCATTGGTTAATAATAACAGCTTGTAGTATTTGAGCTGCTACCCCTCTCAATCCAAAACAGTACAGTTTCGCTGAATTTTGTATTCAGGTAAGGGGTAACAGGTAAACAAATGCAGAGAGCATTTCTAAAAAATGTTTCTAGCCAGTTGTCTTCTCTTGAAATTGAAGCACACACGTCAGAATTACAGTTCATGTAACATTAAACAAAAAAACAACTTATGTTAAAGTTGATATTTTGAATATCTCCATTGAAATGTCTCATCCATTCTCATGCATTTACTACTTGAAAGCATATGTTCTTTTCAGGTGAAGAAATGCTTTTTGTTTGTCCTGTGTCAGACATTCCTTCCCACAGTAGAAGACAAATATAATTAGGAAAGTGCCCTTTCTCTGAGGAAATTATTGTCTAATGATTAAGACAAGTCCATAAAGATTGTCCACGTCTGCTACAGCATTCTCTACTTTTTTTTTCATTCTCTTTAATGTAAGAGAGTTTATGTCAACAAAATCCTGTTATGTTATGGGGCCCTCATATGATTTTTAATCAAATAAATATTCTGAATATAGTAGATAAGTTTTCATTTCAACTACGTTTTTCTGTAAAGTGACTTTCATCTCTCAGGAAATTTTGGGATTGATTTTTATGTAAGTAGGAGAAACAAACCACAAGAATAGAAAACATTTTGCTCTATTTTCTAGCTAATGAAGAATTCATTTTGAATAGCAAGGTGGAAATACCTTATTGAGAAATTCTGGGGCTCCTGTTAAATATTTAACGACAAGCTTGCTCTTGGAATTTCCATAATGTAATCTAAACCATCATTTCCTGGGGAAATTACAGACTTGCTGAGTCATTAATTTGCCATTCTATCTCCGAAAATCAGAATATATTGTCTTTCCAGATACTGGTCATTACTTATATAAAGTTCTAACTTTTACAGTAATTTCAGGGATGTTAAAGACACTTCACAAAATTGAATTTTGAAAAAAAATTAATAATTATCTTAATTCTATTTAGTTACTATTCCTGAGTCTAAAATTCAGCTTTCATCATTTTTCTATTCTCATAGTCTCTCCTTTCGGAATGTGATATCTCTTACACTGAGAACCAAAAAAAAGGGTTCTTTTATGTTTCATAATTTATAATTTGCCAAATCAAATCATTAACATGTGTCTATCCTAATCCCATGCTTAATATGTATGTCAATTCTTACATAAATTTAGTATCTTTAATTTAATCTGGATTCTTCCAATGAGCAAAGGACAATTCCATGCCTAGTATAGAAATGGTTTGTTTGTTTGTTTAGTACCGGGGAATGAATTTAGAACCTTGAGTTTGCTAGGCATGTGTGATGCCACTGAGCTAAATCCCCAGCCCTAGAAATGCAATTATTTTTAAGAATTTCATCCTCCTCTATGTGTTTTCCATAATATTAGAGATGGAGATTTTAAATGTTTTTCAAGTTTTGAGCCAGTTTTTTGCTCTGAATGTATTAATGAAGCAGAATAAAACAAAATGCAGCCATTCTCTTTCCAAAGAATTTCAACATTCCTCCTATTACTGTTTTTACAAAATAAAATTATTCTTCATATTCCCCAAGTTAAATGAATACATGTGTCCAGAGTGTGATCTTAAACAGAGGCTACTGACTTAAATACCATTTAGCCAACCTAACAAACCTAATAAAATGTTCATTAATGTTGATATCTAAGAAATAATTTTTCTTTAATAGAATTAACTTTAAAGAAAGATATTATTTAAAACTCTAAAATACTGTACATATTACAATTAAATGCACAAGTGTAAAATGAAGGTAATAAAGAAATACTTTTCATTATATGAGAAGAAAATACCTGATTATTTGTGCCAGTGTAGTGTTTTGAATCACTATCTAATGGTGATTACCTCAAAATTATTTTTAGATACAAAGATGAGCCATGCATAGTGAACCCTGAATGTAATTTAAGCAAGCTGGAGACTGAGGCAGGAGTATAACGAGTTCAAACCCAGCCTGGCAGATTTAGCAGGAACCATGTCTCAAAATACAAAATAAAAAAGGGCTGGAGACATAGCTCAGGCAAAGGTCCTGAGTTCAATCCCAAGAACTTGGGAAAGTAAAAGACTTGGAGAGATTGATGATATTTAATCATGTATTTCCTTGTTAATTACTAACTTCTGAGTGTTTGCTTGCTGTACAACTTGATACTTATAATGAAAAGCACAGTAATCATATTTTTAGTGTACCTTATTTACATTATCATTCATAGTGTGTATTTTTTGCTTAAAGTAGGGACTGAACAACAAATAATTATGAAAAATGTGTCTCTCATTCTGAAACTGTTTAGTTTTTGGTTTGTATTCACATCATCAGAAAGATTTTTTAAAGAGCTGATTGACAGATTGCAGAAATGCCAGTAAAAATGACAAATATATATAAATTACAGAGTAATGACTTTATGCCATAAGCTTTTTTGTGTGTTTTGGCCTTTGTTTATAGTTTTTTATTTATGAGTGAAATCATTGTTTTCCATTTTAATGAATGCATGTATCAATGCTGCATGAGCAATTACAAAGTGGTCAGCTTGTGACTCAGTCTGTTTTTTTTTTGTTGTGGCTTCTTAGAGTTGCCTGATGATAGGGGAAGCACATGAAAAGACATATGAGTATACATCCTGTCTCAAAATTTTAAACCTTTGTTTTGCCAATTAGAAACATAAATCATATATTGAAAATGATTAATTATATATAGAACTACACGAAGTAATAAGTATTTCTAGTTGAGTTGCTAACTGATCTCAAATTTTAAAATGTCGTAAACATTAGGACACTGTTCAACTTCTTTAAATCAATTTCTGACACTGTTATATAGTTTTTGAATTGTTGCCTTGTTGTGGTTGTGTGATTCTGATTGCTACTAGAATCTGTAGGTAGCACAATCTCAGGGCCATAAAGTGATGGCAACCTATCTCTTTACCCTAAACTTATAGTATGTTATTAAAATTTCTTACATAATCCTGTCTTGAAAATTGTAAATGAAATAACTTCTTCAGAATAAGTCTGGCTTCCAGGGATTTAGCTCAGTGGTTCCGGCGCCTGCCTTGCAAGCCCAAGGACCCGAGTTCAATCCCTGGTACCAAAAAAAACAGAATAAGTCTGGCTCTTGCAGTTTATGGCTGTGTGTATGTGAATGACACCATATTGGATGAGAGGGAAATACTCCATTTGTCAGATTCCAGGCCCCTTGCTCTGCTGAGTGAATTTTTTCCAAGGTATAGGAAAGACTTGTGTGTCAAACTGGCCACATTAGCACAGCCAAGAATTAAGTACCTTAAATTAAAGGGAACAAGTGAAGAATGGGTTAGCCAGATTTTTGTAGGATTTTCTAAGTCTGAGAATTTTGTAAGTTGGCTAAAAGTGTGTGACATCAGTTTACCTTTTATTGTGTTGAAACATTCCAAAAAAACTCTTTCTTTCATTTTACTCTATCTTTTAAACTGGCCCATTGGCTATAGTTCCTAAAGGACATTGGAACAGGGACCTAACATCATGAAATTAATTATTTTTCAGTTCCATTGAGAATATTTATTAAATATATTTATGATTCATTTTTGGAAAACCGTTGGCCTATCTTGGTCAGGTTCATGGACTTCCTTGCAGGAATTAAGTTTTCCAGAGTAAATGTGATTTATAGTTTTCCTTTTCTGAATTATAATTATAAATGTAACTCTAGACATAATATCCTTATACAGAGCCTCGACCCCAGCCCCTCTTACTGTAGCTATTAAATCTGCAAATCAAAGTTTTCCCATTTAATAAGTGTTGTTACCTTTTGGTAACTTAGAGATTGAAGTCAATTAAAATAGTATATAAATGTGATTTATTTTTCTCCTTGTCAATAATTGTGGCAAAATAGAAATTAAATGAGTAAGGTAATAATACAGGGGCTCTAGTGGGTTTTTTTTAAGTGTAGCTTTATGTTTAGGTTGCACTATGTATTAGCATTTCACCTAAAGAATGTTTGTAAACTTTACAAATTTAGATGCTTCAATTGTAGATAACAAGATCGCCCTTTAAGGAACTTAATATAGTTATTACTATAGAATAGGTGCTTAGTAAATGAAATGTGTGTTCTAATTATTAAGAAGTAAGACAGGTCACTTTTTATTCTAGTAATTCCAAAATATATTTTTTCTGAATATCCCAAGTACATTGGCATGCAATCAAGGGATACTGTGAAATTGCTCAAAAACATTAAAATAACATTTAATTTTATTTCATTTCATTTTAAAAGCCCATGTATAGAGTTCATTAATTCCAAAGTGAGAGGATGAGTATGTAGAGATAATTATTACCCCCAAAATCAATATTTTTGTGCCTTACTGTTTTTATTATAAAAATTAATTATAGTATAATTTTAACATTTTGCTTATTTATGTACTTGAGAAATAATTTTAAATTATATTTAATTGTTTTCCTTGAGGTAATCCAAAGGAAGTGTAGACATTTTTCAGCAATATCATACAGGCAAACAGGAGTATTTGCTTTTCGTTTTCTCTTTTTGAACTACTTGCATTTTCTATCCATTTGCATATAGTTAGTACTCAAGAAGATGCCAATGAGAAAATATGTACAGGGATATTAAGGCCCAAGTTTTATTTGCTTTCACCTTTGTTTTTCTCTTTGTAATTAAATTAATTTATAAAGTAAAAACAATGAAAAGACCTAGAAATCATTTTCAAATATTTTAATTCAAATAGGAAGTAAAATGTTAATAAATTACATTGTTTAACGGAAACATAGTCCTAGATTATCTCATATGGAACAGTAAAACAAAATGAGATTTTAAAATACAGAAATATTTAAATTCAATACTGGTCTCTTTCATCATATTGTCCTTTATTATTTTTTAAACATGTAGCAAAAGTCACCATCAGAGTCATTTATCGGTCGGGAAAAGAGATCAAATTCTCAGTCATACATTGGAAGACCAATTCAGCTTGACAAGATCTTGATGTCCAAGGTTAAAGTGCCGCACACATTCGTCATCCATTCCTACACCCGTCCCACTGTGTGCCAGTACTGCAAGAAGCTCCTCAAGGGTCTTTTCAGGCAGGGCCTGCAGTGCAAAGGTAAGGGAGCTCTTGTCACCGAGTCTTTGTCACCAGCCAGTCTCTGATCCAAAAGTTAATCTGCATGCCTCTGAAAGTTCTTTTGTGGTTGTTGTTGTTTTACAACTTCTCTTTCTGATGAATTTCTACTTTCTGTTTGTTTTGTTTCAAAATAATTATGATTAGATTGCAGATTCAACTGTCATAAACGTTGTGCACCAAAAGTACCCAACAACTGCCTGGGCGAAGTGACCATCAATGGAGGTAGGTAAAGTCCAGCAGTCATGTCTCTGCCTTGCTTCTTCACTGGTACAGCATGTGGCCATTAAGGTTTAGCAAGGCTTTTCACTTTTAGATTGTTTTCAGCTCAGTGTTTGTAAAATCAGCCTGAAGCCTGATCTGTATGAAGGAAAAATGGAAAAGTTTCAGCTCCTCTAGTTTTGATATAGCCAAAGAGCTACCCCCACCCAGTAGTGGGGCTGGAACCAGTGTCTTTGCCCTACTTTTGAGATAAAGTCTTGCTAAACTTGCTAAGTTGCTCCAGACGAGGCTCTAATTTGGGACTGTCCTTCCTCAGTCTCCCAGACTGCTGGGATTACAGGTGTGTGCCACCCTGCCTGGCTGAAAGAGCTTTCATCTTTGCATGGTGAATAGCGAATATTGTGAACTTGTATATCCACAATTTTTCCTAGCTTTTTAACTTTATTTTTCTATCCTAATTTGTTCAGAATTGTTACGTCTACAGGTTATAGCTCTCATTCTCTATTTGTCGGTCCTCAGCCAATATCAAAACAGAAGTTAACTTTCTTCCCTGTTTGCTGAGTACAGAAAAGATCACAGACACAATCATTCATTTCTATCCACTGCTCACTTACTGTTTCAATTATATCTAAGATTACTAACCCGCATCTTTAAAAGTAAGAAAAACTTTAAGTTGACCAATTAAAAACAACGTCCTTTTTTCTATATTTGGAACTATTTTCTTTGGAAAGCTGTATGTAAATTGACTTTGAAGCACTCTTCTGAGAAAAAAATGCCAAGACCTAAAGGAATAGCTCACACCTTCTTCACAGGTAGAGGATTGGTATTAAAATATTTGGCTTAGGAGCCCGGGCTTTTACTACAGATAGTGAACTATTTTATACTGTCAGTCTCACAGCAGTCTTCCAGTTCCTCTGGAAATAAAAATGGCTGTAAAAGACCGAAGACCCAAGTATATATATGTATATATGTATTCCTGAAGAAGGAGGAAGAAAGGATTGCTGTCTAGGAAAACATTCTCAAGCCTATCGATTTCTGGAATGGAGATATGTGAATTATCTGTCAAAATTTAAAACTTGGCAATTTTCCCATTTTCTTTGGAATGTAATATTGACTTTGTTGGATCCTAAGGAATGTCAGTATGTACTTGATAGCTATAAATGTATATATGTATTCCTGAAGAAGGAGGAAGAAAGGATTGCTGTCTAGGAAAACATTCTCAAGCCTATCGATTTCTGGAATGGAGATATGTGAATTATCTGTCAAAATTTAAAACTTGGCAATTTTCCCATTTTCTTTGGAATGTAATATTGACTTTGTTGGATCCTAAGGAATGTCAGTATGTACTTGATAGCTATAATTAAAGGGAAATAACAGTGTTTGATGTTGAATACTTTGAAATTGCATTTTCCCATATAATCAGAAAAATTCTGTAAAATGTAAATGTTCCAAACTTGGCAAGCCAGAGTCTTTGACTGACCTGTTTCTCTAATTTTAAAATAAGTGTTTTGTATAAGTTAAATTATTAAAATTCCTGCATTAAGACTAACTGCTGTACCTAACAATGGAGTTCAATATTTAAGTATCCAGTATCTTAGGTATTTAAAAGCTGCAGCTTCTGTGACAAATTTAACACTCTGGAGTCCATGACTTTAAAAGTTACTGGAATAGCAAAAGTCATTGACCCTGAATTGTCCTTCATGCAAAAGTTTCCATCATCTTCCCCTGTCTTTCTTTTTCCCACAAGAGCTGTGCTGTGAAACATGATCAGTTTCCTGGTAACTTGCGTCTGGTATCACTTTGCCTCCCAGTGCTGTGCTTCTGTCTTTGGCTTCCTTCCAAAGCTCTCCATGACCTGTCATGTTTTAGGGTTAGGGATATGGAAAATAGGGTTCTGCCTGAAAAGATTGCATAGTCACCTTCCCGTACACTCATGTACTTAGGAACTAAAATGAAAAGGAAAGGTGAAAAGAAAAATTCTTCACAAGATTGCCTTTTTTTAGGGCTTTCAATTGATTTGCTTTAGTGTCTTTCTCTTAAGCTCCATTATTCCAGGCTTATCTTCATGGGTCAAAATAATTTTCTAGATCTGCTGAGCCCTGGGGCGGAATCTGATGTGGTCATGGAAGAAGGAAGTGATGACAATGACAGTGAAAGAAACAGTGGACTCATGGATGACATGGAGGAGGCAATGGTCCAAGATGCTGAGATGGCCACGGCTGAAGGCCAGAGTGACAGTGGGGAAATGCAGGATGCAGACCCCGACCAGGAAGACTCCAACAGGACCATCAGGTGAGAGCAGCAATGCCAGCCTCAGCCTAGCAGTGAAACCCGTGTGGTATTTACTCTTTAGGCTCTTGTATTTCCATCTAAAAAGAAATTTGAGGTGTTTCTAGTTTCATTATGAGTGACCTCTGAATTGTGGATAGTATGCTTAGAGTTAAGAGGTCCAGGTTCCCTAGAAGAAGTACAGTTTGCATCCTTCCTGGCACTGCCTTATCCACAGACCCATTTTCTTTGGTGTGGACGTGATGCTCCTATTCATGAGCTTACAGCTAAGTTAACAGTAACTCAGAGTTCCTTGTGTGGAAATACGTGGGGCTCTCTACCCCAGCAGTTTCTGTCTATTCCATGGTTCAACCCTATTATAAATACCACATTCAGCCTACACCTTTCTTATTGTTCTTGTGTTCATTTCTGAAGTACAATTTTTTTGTTATCTATACTTTTTTGCCACTAGCTAGTCCTCACTTTTTATATCAGGAGTTGGCACAGTTGGGTCAAATTGGACTGCTGCTTGGGTTGTAATTCATTTTATTGGAATATAGCTATGCCCATTCATATTGTCTATGGCTGCTTTTATACTACAATAGTACAGTTATGCATTCAATCAAGCCTAAAATATTTATTACCTAGTCTTTTACAGAAAAACTTTCCCAGCCTCGAATTTATATTATAAAGCATAGTGCAACATTTGTGTCCATTCTACAAATGTCAAATTCATTGACAGACTAAAATTGTTCACAAGAGTAGAGAAATGTAATGACAAGTTTTTTTTCCATCTAATGGCACGGAAAATATTTTTAAAATATTGGAAAATATTAGTCTTATTACCTAACTCCCTTATGAAGGGTATAAATTTCTTTAGTATTTAAGCATTTGGGGTTGTGAGAAGGCACGGGTGAGGGAAGGTATCTTAGTTATTTTCCATTTGCTGGTGCAAAATATTCAACACCCAAAACTTGAAGGGCAAGAATTTTATCTTGGCCCCCAGTTTTCAGTCCATAGTTGGCTGGTTCCAAGGTAGAAATGGGATGGCACAAGGGCATGGTGGAAAAGTGGTTCTCAAGTGTGGTAGACAGGAAGCAGAAAGAGAGGGGAATGGCTGGAGGAGCTGGGGACACAAATATATTCATTTCAGGTCCTGTCCTCAGTGACTCATCTCCAACCAGGCCCCTGTTCCTAACAGCACATTCGGCTACTGAACTCATCAGTGGTTGAATCCACTGATTTGTACAGCACCCCAGGGATCCAGTCACCTTTCATACACAAGAGACACCGGGGGGAAATGTTAGATCTAAACCATAACAGGAGGTAAGAGATAGAGATAGAGCGAGGTATGTGGGGGGTGTGTGGAGGGGACTGAGAAAGCAGGATACCTGTGGATAATAATTATGTAAAAGGCAGTTAACAAAGCAGTTTGTAATTTTTAAGAAATTCTTCAGAGACTAAAATTTATTTTGAAAAATATAATCTATAAATGATTAACCATATCCATATTACATGTAGTGAATAAGCAAGTAAGCTTTCATGTGTGAAATACTATGGCTTCAATATATTGATAGCAATCTGCTATTTAACTGAAAACTGAGCCCCCTTCAGGTCCACCTGAAACAAGGTGCTTATTATCCTACATTGAGCTCTTTAAAATGTACATTTAATGCCCATCATTCTTCCAAGTAGCCCATTTTCTGAACTGTGCTATTCTGACTCTACCTTTCACCAAAAATGAGATGTGAAGTTTTTTGACTTTCACTTTGACATAATTGAAATAAGGTTTTATTCAAGAAAAGATATGAATCTGAGAACATTTCTCTCTTAAAATATTTTGACTTTTCAAGTCCATCGACAAGCAACAATATCCCACTCATGAGGGTGGTGCAGTCTATCAAGCACACAAAGAGGAAAAGCAGCTCGGTGATGAAGGAAGGGTGGATGGTCCACTACACCAGCAAGGACACACTGGTAAGATTCACAGCAAGCCTGCAGTTCACGGGCCCTGCCTGTGATCAGAGAAGCTGCTGGCACCCTCTCAGGACTACCAGATGCCCCGTGGTGTAGGATCAGGTGGAGACATTGCAAAAGAAAAATAACATAGAAATCAATTTCAGGAAAACCAAATCATTTACCTCGATGACTCAAATGACCTGCAGACCATGTGCACGTCCAGCTGTTGCTTCCAGGAGTCAGGAAAGTTGCAGTGTGGCTTTCCAGGCACTTTGCTTCATCACTTTCCTCACGACTGAGGCAAATACCAGATACCCACAACTTAATGAGAGGAGATTTATTTTGCCCCGTGGTTATAGTCCATGGCACACTTGCTCAGAGGCAGGAAGGGCTTGCAGAAAAGGCCTGGGCGGAGGAGAGCTGCTTAACTCATGGCGGCCAGGAAGCAGAGAATAAAACGAGGAGCCAGAGATGAAGATAAATCCTTCCGGGTCACACCTTCAGCGACCCACTTTCCCTGACCAGACCCCCCTCTTCCCAATAGCATAGTTAGCTCTCACTTCTCAGTGTCTAATCCACTGATGAGCACTGCGTCCCCGTGACATAGTTAACTTCGAAAAGCCCTTCTAAACTAAGCACGTAAGCCTTTTCGGGAACAGTCCAGATTTAAATCATAATAGTACTCCTCTGTGATAGATAATTATAGAAGGAATGCTGCACTTTAAGGAGTGAGAAAAGATAACAGTGATGACTATTGATTACTTCTTCCTTTTAGTTTCTTTGTTTTTTTGAAACAGGGTTTTGCTTTGTAGTTCAAGCTGTCCTTGAACTCACTATGTAGCCCAGGCTGGCCTTGAGCTTGTCACAATTGTTCTGCTTCAGCCTCTGAATGCTGGAACTATTGATTACTTCTCAAATCTTTATTTGTTCATTTAAAATAGTAAAAATCCAGGAGTGTAGTAGTCCCATGGTTTACTTGAGTCATTTACATTTCCAGATTTTTGTAATGGTTGATGAATGAGGTGTATCTGGGTGTTTATGTGTAAGCCAGAGAACAGCTTGATCCAAGTATCAAAGTTAAACTAAGTGAAAGGCTGATTGATCAGTCATTGATAGTGCTTTCCTCATTTCCTCTTATCCATCGTTTCTTTAGATAATAGACACCTATAACCTAATTGATCTATTGATAATCTCAGGCTTCTTGTTGGAGAAAGGTAACATCCAGACTTACTGTGAGATTCAACTAAATACTATCTAGTTCTTCTTTGACAGGTTGTAGGGTATTTGCCATATATTTAATATATTTGACTAGTCTACAGTTGGTTGCATGTGAAACCAAAAGTATGTTAAAAGGGCTTTTGATCTAAAAAATATGAAAATACACACTCATGCATGTGCTTCATATCCTAAAATCATGAAAGATTTACCTATGTTGAACAAGAACCTTATTACCAAATTGTAGTAGTTGTATATAGAGTGAACTTAAAAGAAGTTAGAATTGCCAGATGCATTTGTTTAACTTTAAATTGGTTCCACAGAGTCAAGATATCATCCAGAAAAATATTCTTTTGTTCTGCTGTAATGTTCAGAATTCTTCTATTGGTAATGGAAGCCAAAATACTTGGCTAGATCAGCATGACATTTCTTATGTTCTAAAATAATAAGCATGAATAAACATTACACCTCCTACTAAGCCTTGTTTTATGACAGACTATAAATACACCTTAAGCTCTTCAAGCAATCAAATTATAAAATGATATTTGCCATTGACTGCACATACTGACGGCCAGGTGGCTCCCGGGGTGCCAATACATTAGCTTCTTTGTTACTCATGACTGTCTCATGTAGATGCAGAAACACATCACATGGTATTTGCTACACAGTGAATTCCTAGAGTCAATTGAGTGTGAGTTTGTCTTAGTCAAAGTCCATCCACCACCATTTTCTATTTTCCCATTGAGAAAACATACTTATTTTATCAATCTTAGGATATATTTAAAGCTTTCAAAAGATCTTGAATCTACCTTCTATTTCAGCGGAAACGGCACTATTGGAGATTGGATAGCAAATGCATCACACTCTTTCAAAATGACACAGGCAGCAGATACTACAAGGTAAATGTGGCTGTTTCTTTGATTGTAGTTCAGCGTCCTTTCCTGCTTTTTCATGAGCATGCAGAGTATCAGAAATGTGAAATATGTCCAACAGCCATGACTCTGTGTTTCCTCTAAAAGATATTTTTTTCTTGTCTGTAGTTTCCAGATTTCTTAAAGAATCACATTGTAACCTCGTAATTTATCTGTGAATCTCACATTTTCCTGGAGACTGCTTACTGCTCTAAGGGATGATACAAAGAAGGAAGGAGGGGAAGCTTAATTGAATATTTTAGCACAGTTGTGTGATTTAACTAGGAAATCAGTGGTCACAGCAGAAGAACTAAAAGTAAATTCCTTATATCCATTATATCCAGCACATCACTGGAAATTAAGAAACAGTATATGATTTCTTCATGCTTGCCAATATTTATAAGGAATACTTTCCTCTAGAGAAGTACTTAGCAGCATTTTTCTTTCTGTCTCTCTACATTAAATAACACAGATGTGATATAATATATGACCTAGTAAAACACAACTCCAAAAGAAACTCACAGTGGAAATAGTAGATACTTGCTCCTCTAACATGAGTGCAGAATGCAGCATAATTAATCTGATTTTCCGTGGCCACTTTACATTCTCTACAAAAGACAATTAATCATTTTATTTAAGGGTTATTTTTTTAGTCACTTTATACTTCCTAGGAGACAATGTCACAATTATTTAATATTTGTATGTTTTTTTAAAACAACTGTATTTGTAAAAAACCAAGGGCTGTAATATTTTACTCACTAAAACTATTTGCTTGTGTTTATACTAACATGTACTGAATTAAATCATGCTTACTTTCAGTACTTTATACAGTTAACATTTTAAAACAGTGATGTAAGCCCAGATACATTTCAAAAATGTCATCATTTTGCCTCACCATTTAAAATACTATCATTCATTTTCCAAGTCTTGGATTTTGATGAAGATTCAAAACCATTATTTTTAAGAATGTTTATTCCTGACAGATGATTATCATAAAAAATCACTTGTATTTTCTAGAAAAAAGTGATACTAAGGCTTCCTATTATCAAAATATTTTTGAATTTTAATAATGTTATTTATACAAATATTTTATATACTTGATGACTTTAATGTCATTTCTCACATGTTCCTGGTATGAACTTTAATTAAAAGTTTGCATGTTTTTGTAAACCTATATCGAGGACACTCTTTCTTCCGTAGGAAATTCCTTTATCAGAAATTTTATCTCTGGAAGCAGCAAAAATTTCAGCATTAATTCCTAATGGAGCTAATCCTCATTGTTTTGAAATCACTACAACAAATGCAGTGTATTATGTGGGAGAAGATGTGGTCAATCCTTCTAGCCCCCCACCAAACAGCAGTGTCCTCACCAGTGGTGTTGGTGCAGATGTGGCCAGGAGGTGGGAGATGGCCATCCAGCACGCACTCATGCCGGTCATTCCCAAGGGCTCCTCTGTGGGCTCAGGAACCTACTCTCACAGTAAGTCTTCCTTTTTCCTTCCTGGCATGAAGCTCAGTCTGCCCACCTCTGGCTCAGTAAACCGGCATTTGGCATTGCCCAAGACTAGAGTAAAGGAAAAGCCCTTGCCATGGGTTTAGGAAAACAGAGTCTCTACGTAGAAACTGCTCCACTGTCTTTATCTTTTATTCATTTTTTTTTTTTTACAGATTTGTGTAGGCCGGCATATTAGGCAATTACCGATCTCTTAGAGCCATTTGGTCATAAAAAGAAGTCATTTAATCAGTTTGCACTTGATCTAGAATGCAACAAGTAGGAATTAATATATTTCCCCAAAGTCATCTAACATGGCAGTCTGGGCAGGGCATTTAGTGTAAGAATTAGTCAGTAAATCTTGATGATTTTATCCTAGGAATAAATCTCTGTTTCTTAGTAAAATGAGATCTAGTATTCCAACATGTAACCAAGATGAAGAATTGAGGATGAATTGTAAAAAGGAATTGTAGAGGACTATCCATATAAATGTATTATAAATGTCATTAGTGGTTATTAATAATAAACCTGTGAATTACCCTTTTTCACATTATAGTGTGCTATCTGCTGATCTAACATAATTTTATTTATCTCTACAGCCAAATATTAATAGAATGTTTATGATTATTATGGCTTGATTACTTTCACTTTACCTGACATCTCTATTTTAATGCCTAAAACAAGCTGCGACAGGTTAATGATTTGCCTATTTTAAAGGTAAAGAAATTGGTCTAGAGAGATCAGTATTTGAACCCAAATCCTATGACTCCTAAACTGACAAAATACTATTTTTTAAAACCAAGCATAGAATGAGTTTATAGTTTTAAAAGGAAATAGATGTCCTCATAGAAGTTACTATGATGTATTTAAATCCAATCCTGTAGAATTGATATTTACTTATTTTGTTATTACCTCTCTGACACTTTTGTGTTTATATTTTCAACATGCTTTTCCAGAAGATATTTCTGTGAGCATTTCAGTATCAAATTGCCAGATTCAAGAAAATGTGGTGAGTAGGTACATACTAATACCAAACTTGGCAATGTGATTATTAGAAAATAAGAGTATAGATTTTTATTAATCTGAGGTTTTAATTTTTTCAATGTTTTCTAGAAAGTAAAATAATATCTACTGAATATTTTTCTTCCATAAGGTTTTAGAAACATTGCATTATGATTGTGATTTTGCTATAATCTGATCTACAATGTAGTAGCAGAAAGATAGACAGCTATGGCATAATAGTTGATTTTTTACATATTTACTCTTTTCACTTTTTTTGTAATACTAGGGATTTTTTTTGAATACTGGTTCATGCCATGAAAGCAATCTCTTTACCACTGATCTGTATGTATCCCCAGTCCTTGATGTTGGAATTTTAATGGTCAATGATGTATTATAAAATAAATACACAGATAAAATAAACTCACTGCTTTGCATGTGCAGCTTAACCATGCCACTATTCTTATCCCTTGTACATAGGGTTACTGTCAAATACAAGGATTACAAACCCTCTTGCAGCTACAGTACTTGTGCATACCAAGGAGACCTCAAGAAATTTGCATAAATCAGACTTCATGGGTCCACACTCTGGCACACTAATCACCTGTTCCAACCAAATTCATTCTTTCCATTCACTTCTTGAAAATTAGAGATCGGAAATGTTATAACTATCATGTTTGCTTTACTTGTTCTATTGTCATTATGTAAATAGCCAAAAAGTAATAAGGCCTTTTCCACTTCCTTCTAGTGACTCAAAGCTTTTGCTCTATTTTTCCTACTATGCCTATGACCAAAAGAAACCAGTTTATGACTTGGTAACACTGATTTTTATTTGCTTTTAGAAGAATACCTGCTTCAGCTCTTTTCATTACTACTCTCTCTTTACAACCCTTGCTAAATTTGCATAAATGAAACCAAAAGTCAAAGAGGAATTAGACATAGACAACTTCATAGTGTTAAATGAACTCTTCAGCAGTCAGTCACAACCTAGATTAAAACCATCCTTTGTTCACCAATTATTATTTCAACAAGAAAAGAGGAAAGTTTTAGAACTTTTTACCTCCAGAAATGATAAAAATGGAATTGTTTAGCTGCTTCACAGATAAGACTCTCATAGTGGGCTGTCATTCTTTTACAGTTTCTCTGGGTCATGCAGGGTGCCACAGGCCCTCTTTTTCCCACTTCGGTTCATCTGGATGGGGGAGACTAACCAGGGAACAGCCTTACCATCCTAGCAACATGGTATATCAGGAATACCTCAGACATGCGATTGGAATCCATGAATATTTCATAAAATTTCTAGATATCCATTTTAATAAGCAACTCCTTTTCTGCATACTTCAGTGACATTATATATTTTGGGGTCTTATTTCTCTCTATTAAAACACATTTAATAGCACATTAGAAAACCTCCAGCACTTAAGATCAGAGCAGCTTTCACAATATTACATTACTTAAAATGCTTTGAATATTATAGTCATTGAAATTTTATGGAGCATTTACAATTATTTTTTGAAATATTTAAAAATATAATAAGTTGAAATAGAATTATATAATTTATTAGGAATAACACTTTGTTCCCTCTCATCTTTGTTTTTCACTGGACTCATACCCATAGGACATCAGCACAGTGTATCAGATTTTTCCTGATGAAGTCCTGGGCTCTGGACAGTTTGGAATTGTTTATGGAGGTAGGTTAGTTCACACAAATAATATTTTCTAGAAAGAAATAAAAAGCAAGATCTTTGCATATATATGCACTGCCTCTATATTTTACCTTTTAAATTTTCTCTTGAGATAATCATTGTTTGAAAAACTGATATACTTCTTTTTTGAAAGGGAAAAACATTTTGTAAATACATCAAAAAACGTATCTTAAAAAACTTACTTTGCTTAAATATTGACAGACTGTACAATACTGAAGCAATTTGCTTTCTTGAGGCAAAACATTAAAAAAGAAGAAAGTTACTGTTCACAGATTAGTGCTGTTTTCTTCAGTCTATCTTTGATCAGAACACCTACAGAAGTCCATTTATGCTAACTGGACAAAAATTTCGGTTTCTTAATGTAAGTCACAAATTGTCTTTTTCTGCGTGAGGTTAAATGCTGTGAAATAATCATAAGGACTCCCTCAATTTTTCTTGTATGCTTAAATTTAAAAACTAAGTTCTTTTCTGATTTAAAGAGTCACTTTGATTCTCATAAAAATACTCTAGACTTTATTTTATAAAAAACTTGTCAGTGAGTCAACAACCATTTTGCTGTTTGTTAATGCATGCTGGTGTGATAGGGGAGACCAAAAATTAGATTATTGTTCTACAGTGTAACATTTATGTGCAAAAACTGAAATCACAGGAGAGAGATGCATGATACATGTATGCACATTCGGAGGGAGGGAGGCAGGGATGAGAAATGAGATTAGAAAGAGCAGCAAATGCCAGATAATTTGAAATGTCAACACTGTGAGACTATGTATAGGAGGAAGCTTACACACAGAACGCTAAAACGTTAAGAACAGACACAAGGGATGAAGCAGAGAACAGCTTTTCAGAAGAAAGCCAAGTCCTAGTGACAGTGACCGTGATAGAAGAATACAAGTAAAATGAGCTGTGGTCTTGTAGATAGCAGTAGGAATAAGATGCCGGAGTTGAAATAAAGAGCACAGCAAGTCAGCGGAAAAGGTGATGGTAAGGAAGGAGAGGTCGCAAAACACGGCAATGTGGTCATGAAGGAAGCAGAAGCCAAGGAGGGAGGACGCAAAGTGAGAACAGGCTGTAGGGTGAAGAACACCAGATTTACAGCAAACATTGAAATAGTAGAATTTCAATATATGACCAAAGCTTTTGAAGTCTATTTTCTATTTCCATTTTCATTTTGTTTTCAGATTCAATTAATGCCACTATAGTCTGTATTTGTTACAGTATAGCAGCATAGAAATTAAGAACTTGAGGCCCCCATAGATACCCTAAAAGGCCATGAGAAATACAAGGGGTATAGTATAGATAAAAGACCTGTCATGTGCTGATGAAAATAAAATTTTTTTTGGTGTACATAGCTAACTGGATACTTTTTGTACTTTGTTTTCTTTCCCCTAATCATCACAACAGTGGGACCACTGAAAACAAGAAATGTAAAACCCTAAAAGATGAAATGATTGGCTTCAGGCCACACCCCTAGTAAATGCCAGAGCCAAGGCTCTATCGAAGATATATCAAATCAGTGGCCCAGGGGTTATACGTGGCCCTGGACCGCTATTAATGTGGACTCACAAGACTGTGCACTTTTACCATTATTATGTGACTTTTAGCGATATTTTTCATGTCTCAGTGGCACGGTGCGCGAGTGCAGACCATCTAGGGGGGATGAATGCTACAGGGCGGCGGTGGGGCGGTGCTAACTCCGCCCTCTGTGCCCGCCACATTCAGTTACATCGAAGCCTTGTGTATCGAGGTTACATGTGTGTGTGCATCAGTAAAAAGCATCAATTACCATCATAGCATTTCAGTCTACCTGTATACGTGTATGCCTATGAAGACTGGCATTTACTGTTGTTAAGCGGGCACGTACATCATCTTATTTAATTATTGAATTGGGGGTTCTGTTACTTGGTTTTAGTGTTATAATAAAACATTTTCGAAAAGGAAGTTCCATTTCTTATATACATTAACTATATCATATATTGCATGTGCCGCCCAAGACAGTTTCTCTTTGCTCATTGTGCCCTAGGCGAGCCAAAAACTTGGATACTTATGTAATGCCTTTCTCTATAATATACATTTGCTTATCAACACTTTAAAATTATATTTTCTTAAGTAAGGTATTTCTACTGGTGGTGTGAATATTTTTCTGTGAAGCGTATCAACATCCTATTTCTAAAATATATATTTTTATGAGAAAATATCAGACTGCTGATATATTAGACTGCTGCATACTTAGAGCTTTTTATGGCCCAATATTTTTATGTTCTAAATTGTGGCTAATTTTGACACATATATTTCATTTAGAATAATTCATTAAAAGGTGAAAATTTTATTCAGTGGAACATTCTTATCATTTTTTATAACTGTCCTTATAAATGTTTGTGTTCTTTAATATTAATATTTAATAATGCTAATATTTTTCATTTTTACTTTAAAGGAAAACATCGTAAAACAGGAAGAGATGTAGCTATTAAAATCATTGACAAATTACGATTTCCAACAAAGCAAGAAAGCCAGCTTCGTAATGAGGTTGCAATTTTACAGGTACTCCTTTGATTCTCATTTCAGAGCTATAAAGTACCTTCCACTTCTGCGAAGCAAAGTTATCCAAATATCTGCAGAATAGATACTTAAAACACTAAAATAACTGAAAACACAGATCAAGTATCAAACTACCGCCTGCAGACTATCCTTCCTAAATCTAGGCAGCGGTTCCTCTTTTTCATGTATTTAATTCCAGGTTTCAATATGTAATATTAATGGGTAATATTTCAGCATTTGCTCATAATGGACATGCTGAGACCATTTTGTTTTACATTACAAATGACCTTCCCTTCATAAACATTCCTCCTTTATGCTGTGATAATTACATGACTTAAGTGTTAACTGTCAGCACATCAAGTATATGAGTAAGATATGTCTGAGAATCAAATCATCTTGATTTTATTAATGTCCTCTTTCTCCCTCTTGTATGTGATATAGAATATGTCACTTGACTCCTCTCCTTAATAAAAGTCCCCTTTTTATACTAGAATTTGTCAATAAAAGTTATTATGTGGTATATATAACTTTTATATGCACTAAAACTTGTTTTTGCAGGCTAGAGGGAAATTGAGAAGTTGTTTGCCTAATGTAGTCAGCATAGCTATCCTGTATGCACTATTTAGACCATTGATAAAGCCAATTTTTATATAATTTCTGTAATTTTGCATATATGGTAATGATATTAATTTCTAATTCTTTTTTTTTTTTTTTTTTGGTACTGGGGATTGAACTCAGGTCCTTTTTGCTTGCTAGGCAGGCGGCACAACCACTGAGCTAAATCCCCAGGCCTCTAATTCACTTTTTATTAGTTCTCATCTAAACATTACCAATAAAGCAAAATAGATTGCATCTCTTCATTTATTAATTTGATTGCCATTCATTGAATTCCACACAGTAAATTAAAAAGATATAATTTCTACCCTAAGTAAGGTCTTTTATGCAGACAATAAAAAAATAATATCTTTTATACATAAAAATAAACCTTTATTTTTTAAAAACATATCTGTATTTCTTTTTTAAAGATTAATTTTATTGGTGCATTTAAGGTACACTATATAAGGACATTCATCATTGGAAATTTGCACGTTTACATAATCCATTTTGATTCTTGTTTTTTCCCCAAACTTTTCTGAGACAGAATTTCTAAAAATAGCATTTTGTGCTTTTGGGCAACCAATTATCTTTTATACATTAAAAAAAACACACAGAGTCCTTTTCACAGTGTTCTCTATCTTCATAAAACGATAACTACCAATTTAAGATTCTAATCCATAGATTCATGTGTTAGCACTTGCTCATCAGTTACCAAAAAGCGATTTTAAATACTCGATCCTTAACGTGGCAATATTGAATCATAAATAATAGGTGAAAATACAGCTTTTGACATCTTCCCAAACCTGGCCACTACCCTTCTAGTCTCCACTACCACATGGTGTCCTCAGGCAAATTCCTTTGCAGAGAAAAACCTCCAGATATGGAATGTGTACCTGAGACAAAACATGAGAGAAAAAGTTCCATGATTAACATCTTTCTAGACTTTATTACAACTGCAGAAGACTAACATAAGTGCAGGGTCTAATGTTCTGTTTGGGCCTTTTAATTGACCCTTCTGAGTCTGTCAGTACCATATTAGCTGACTTTGTAGTGAGGTAGAAAAGAATAAAATACACCTAAGAGTAAACTATTTACCCTCTCCTTTTCTAAAATACGAGTTACAGATAACTCAAATGCAATAAAGAGACATGTGGAAATTTTTTTCTTTATGATGTGGTTTTCTAAAAAGAACTTAGAAAACTCTCACTCTCAAGCATATGAAGAGGTCACACATTTTTTATATTTTTATTACAGCTTGAAATCTCAAAAATCTTCATTATTTATCACTTGACTCCACTGTCTCTGATCATTCTTCACTTCGTTTATGAAACTTGTATGTACTGAAGTTGATACCCCAAGCTAAGCACTCTTCTAGGTTCAGACCACACAGCGTGGCAGAGATACACAGAGGTCCTTCCTGTTACAGGTCTTGCAATTGAATTGCTTAGCTGTGCCTGTAAAACAGATGTTTATGCATATTTATGTGTTAAATGTTTAATCACATAATCTGCAGTCAGTAATTTTTTTCCTTGGCATAATTAACATATCAGGTTTGGTAGTTTTTATTTCACCATAAAGCTGCCAGTTGTTTCAAGATATACTTTGCCTCTTCACTTTTCTCCGTTTCCAGTGTCCTGACCAAGTAACAGTTCATGCTTTCTTTCACTATCTTTTAGAGCTATTGTGAGTCACAGCTCATTACATCTGACTACCCAAATGTATTGTAAACACCTAAAATGGTTTCATTCATTTTTACGTGGTCCAGAAACCTATCAATTTCTTTACCTAATGGAATAAAATGCTTCACAGGTATTACGTAAAGACTTACGTTTTTCATTAATTGACCATACGTGGTTCTTGCCTAAGGGAAGAATAGTAACAAAAAACAGAAAACGGCACGGAGAGAATATTTGCAGGAAAATTTATTAGCATTAAGCATTTGCTTTTAGGCTGGCTGGTTTAGGGTACAAGTGACAAAACAAACTGGACTCATCCCGAGGACAGAATTTCGAGGCTGAAGTACCTGCAAAGCATCAAACCTCAGAGCTACCTTAAAGCAACGCCTGCGAAGAGATGACGAATAATTTCCTCAGAAGGGATGAACTTGCTCCGGGGATGAGTTTCAGATGTGTCCAATTTTTTTAGATGAATGAAAGGACAGTTTTCAGGAAAAGTAGGAGGAGCAGGTTGGATAGGAAAACTAGAATAGAGAGGGAAGATTTAAAAAAACAAATGAGCAAGGCTATTGAAGGACTGAACTTACTTAAGTGAGAGAAAGATGAAAAAAACTGACAGAGGGTGATAATTTGGCAGAGATGAAGATTAAGGGAATGGCAGGAAGGGCCACATATTTATTCTAAGGAAGGTGCGGGTACATTTAATTTATGGCTCATAAAGTTCACTGATTTTTCTCTATATTCTGTATTTTATATTCAGTATGTTTGTAAACCCAAACTGCATTCATGCATTGTAACACAAACAGAAGCTACAATACTATTCCTTATATAAAGAAAAACTGTCCTTTAAGAAAAGGAAATAATAATACCATTGATTAGAGTTATATACATACATATTACTCTAAAGATTTTATACATTATGATGTTTTATGGCTATAAAATAAAATTTAGTTTTGGCTACATAAACTTTTGTTGATAACTTAAATATATAATGCCAGTATTATTTACTTTAAAGTGTTTGAAGGTTCTAAGATGTAGTGACATGTTGATAAATTTTATGCAATATCCCTAATAGCCATAAGATAACTATGCCTGTATTCTTTTCTTTTTGTCTTGAAAAAAAGGTCCAAAACAAAAGTGGGATTTCCTGGGAAGTTTTGAAATAAATTTAATATCTACATTAATTAACATCCTCCTGAAGCATCATAGTGATAAAGTATTTCAGATAATGAAAACTAATCTAAATGATACTCTGTAAGGTTCACATATTCCTTAACTTCAGTTATTCAAAACTGTCTAAGCTAGGCGTGGTGGCGCACACCTGTAGTCTCAGCACTCGGGAGGCTGAGGCAGGAGGATCGCTGTGAGTTCAAAACCAACCTTGGCTGCATAGTGAGTTCCAGGTCAGTCTCAACTACATAGTGAGACCCTGTCTCAAAACAAGCAAACAAACAAAAATGTCTAAAGAGCTTAGAAGCACTGATTGATTTAGACCTTGGAAAGTCCTTAGCTAAACTACACACAGAATACGAAGTGGAAAAGGAAAGAAAAAATTCTACTTTTTCTCAAGTGTTCTATAAGTTAAGGTGCTTTATTTTAGGAAAAAATAAAACAAAATTTCATAAGCAGTAAAATAAATAAAATTAAATTTGATAAGCAAATACTAACCAAATAACAATAGTCATTGCACTATGTATTATTAACTCCAAAGTAGTTACTCAGAGTGTAAAACATAAACCTAAAAGATTCTTACGAAAAAGAAACAAATAACACAAACCTTTCTTTTGGACAAACTAAGATAAACTAGTATTATAAATGAAATCAATTAGCGTATACATTGAAATACTTTTAAACCATTGGAATTTATAATTTAAGGAATTGTTTGAACTTCTCCTTACTACTTTTCTCTCTTCTATTTTGCTCTTTATTTACAAGTAAAAATTTGAACAGAGGTCCTTGAAGGAGGAGGAGGAGGATTTTCTCCGATAGGTCTCTTGAACCTGCTGTTTCCTAGAGAATCAGAAGAAAGGGAGTCACTGAGCAGAACTTCTCCATCTCTCAGCTTAATCATAAGCTAGGATCCTGGATTCCATAAACTGGAGAAACACAGGGGAGGGGATTACAAGTGTTTCTAGGGATTTCTAATATATCCAGGGAAACAGAATTTTGTTCCTGAAGACTAGTGAAACAATATCTCCAATTGACTTTCGTCAGATACTTTTGAAGATAACAGAGTTAGTGAGTTGAAATTCAAATCCACATTCCTTACTCCATTACTATTTTGTCTTTTCCATTCCAAAAAAGTAAGCTTCTTTCTTAATAATACATATAAAAGTGAGGCAAAGAGAGCTTCTGAAGAATACAGTCCTTTGCAATGAACCAATTACCAATAATACCAAATGCAGTCTAGCCTTTGCCTACTGGTTTGATACTATATATGTCATCTTATGGGATGTGTTATTTCCATTATGATGATAATTAATTCGCTCAACAAATACTAATTAAGCACCTAATATGTGCCAAGAATAATTTCTGTTATGGGGGATACAAAACATAATAGTGATATTTCCCTCTTGATTTACATATTTTAATGGTAGGTCTGGAGCTAGGAGTGGGGTGAGAAACATACAGGAAATTTAATAAAACAAGATTCTGTAATAGGTTAGAAAATGATAAATCCTGTGGAGCAAAGAAAATGAAACCAAGGGAGAGCAGGACAGGGATAGAGAT